TGTATGACATGATGTATTTGAGCTGACTTCAATATCAGGCAAATATTTCTGTCTGAGTATTTCCTCTCCTCTCCCTATCTAATATCATTAGGCATTTTACTGAGGTTGGATTTTCACTGGAAACTCTTCACTCTCTACTTCAGGGTCTGAATTTCCTCAGCATGGTAACATCAGCAGAAGTTCTCTATATATGTGGGACACATTGTTTTTCATTCCCAGATGTCAACTGTACAGAATTCTGATGGGATTTAATCTACCCCCTTTTCAAATCACTGAATCACAGAATCAATCTGGTTGAAAAACACCTCTGAGATTAAGTCTAGTCTATGGACTTGATAACCTAAATCCTTACGTGCTCCTTATCACTGGATTTTTTTACAGCCCCGTGTAAAATACCAGTGAAGAAAGCTGTTGTATTATACAATGGGGAGAAGAAGAGGGTCCAGAATGACTTGAAGGAAGGCATTCTGCATGGTGAGACTGTGGCCTTTTACTGCAAGAACAAAGAAAAATCCTGTGCCTACACTGTAGATGTGGCATGTGTGGATGGCAACTTCACCCTCCCTGCCTGCTTCAAAGGTACGAGCGAGGCTGATGGCAAAGCTGGTGGTGGCATGACAAGGACTTTAGTGTGGGAGCAGTGTCAGAATACATCTTCAAGCCCTGTTTGAGTAACTCCTCTGCCTTGTACTAGAGTTACTGGGAGCAAAGGAAAGAATGCACAGCAATCCTCTTCATTTGGATCCATCAGAGCCCTGCTTTGATTCCTGTGCTCTTCTAGGTGTTCTTTTAAAGGTGGTTGAGCCCAAAGCAAAGGCCATATATAAAATATTCTGGGATTTCAGGAATCCTTGGGTCAGCACCTTTTCTAGGGGTAAAAAGCCTGAACACTGCTGCAGCCTTGAGAGCCTGATGCATTCCCTTCTATTCTGGTGGATTATTCCACCTGATGCTGCTCTGACTTTGGACCAAGAGTGCTGAAAGGCAGCTGAGAGCTGTGGTGAGGAACTGATGCTGGAGGAACTGCTTCCCAGGCACACAGGCTTTTAGAATAAATAAACAATAGTGATGTTTGTTAGCAAGAGGGAATGTTTTGCACTTGTTTTATCAATATTCTTCACAAGTTTCATTTTTACTTGCGAGGGAAGGAAAAGCACAGCCTATGTATGATAAAAACATCTTTCCCCACATTTGCCTTGGCTTAGCATCTAGCTTAGCTTTCACTAAAACAGATATTAAAACAGTGTATTTCTTCTAGTGGTTTTCCTATGATGCAAACATTGCTCACCTGGCAGAGTCCATGGGACATGTTGTTTTCAGCTAGCATGTGTCAAAAATTTAACTCAAGCTCTTCACTTGCTTCCAACAGCACGTGGAGTGTTTTCTTTCATGAAGAAGGACCCATCAGACATGAAACCCTGTGAAACTGAAGCATGAATCAGGGAAATAACACAGTACTAAATTTCTGCCTTGCTGAGACAGAACATTTCACGTGCAAGAGGAGAACTCAAGTCCTGTGAATGTAACTCAGGTCCTGGGAGTGTAAATCTCCAGGTGAACTCCAAACTCTGTGAACAGTCTCAGCTCTTCTCCCTCCCACCATCCCCACCAGCCTCTTCCACAAGCTATGACACATTACTTCAGCCATTAACTTCCATTCTTTTTTCCCTGCCTGCTCCACATCCCTGCAGTACTGCTTCTCTCTCCATATTTCCAGCATTTATGCAACTGTAAATGACTTTCTCAAGAGCAGTCGCTTTACAATAAAGTGATTTCCAGCCACTAGTGTGTTCTTATTTAATATTACCTAGTCATCAATCAAATCCTTTAGCTCTGGACAGATTTATATGGAAAGGCCTTCATCATTGGTAATTAGCTGATTCCATTACCACTCCCCTGTGGCAGGGAGGGGACCTTTAATTATAGATAGTCAGAGGGTCATCAGCCTGGGATTTTCCTAAGCAGAAAGACTGAGATTTCCAAATGAGTTTAGAAGCCAAGTGTCCAACCATGGCTCAACATCAATAGCATCAGATAAAGAGTTCTTTTCCATTAAAAACTAATTGCTAAAGTTAGTAAGATTATTTAGGTTTTCGAGATTCTAACCTCACCCGAAACTGTTGTTTTAAACAGTTAATTTTTATCACTGTTTCAATATTACACAATGTCACTGCTTCATTTTTTTTTCATAAGAGAATTGTACACCATTGAGCAAGAGTCCTGATCTCTGGTCATTGAGCAGCTTTGAAGCAAACTGTACTTTTAATCTGATTTATGATACAGCTCCCTGGTATGAGCCAGTCTGACAGGTTTTGTGCTTATGTCTGAATTTCCATTCAGAAAAAGGAATTACAGTTTCAACATACTAGAAAGTGATAGAGAAATATTTGTTGTTCACTTCTAACAAATTGTCATGAGTCATTTGTGGTTCTCTCTGAGGTATAAAAGCTGACAAAAAGCACAAGTGACACAGTAAGCAAACTACTGCAGAACTTCCTAAAAGGACCATTTAACATTGGGATCAAACTACTTGTAAGATGCTGCAGCTGCCATTAAACACCTCTGAACATCCTCTAATTATCTTTTTCCTCTTTTTGATGAAGCCTGCACATGAATATTTTAACAATAAGACTGATATAATTTGTCCTTATGCTTCCTATTTTTAATGAGAGATTGAGACAGCCATTAAGTATTTAATACTTTGCACTCAAGAGCAACTTAATTCTCTAAAGTAGAGACAGAGAAATTCATGCTGGCAACTGAAGTGGGTATTTTCTTGAGACAATGTGCTCTGTGTTTGGATTCCAGACATTTAAGTGGGATCCTCAATGATGTTTTACAGGCCAAGATATGCATAACTCCTCCTGGCAGCTGGCAGGAACCTATCAGTCTGGAAATCTGGTCTAAATGTTGTGTGGATCCATCTCTGGTCTAAATGTTGTGTGGATCCATCTCTGGGATCACGATGTTCAGGACAGTCACTGAGACACCAAACACAGTTTAATATTAACTTGTGTTTGACAGCAAATCCCTAGGAACTTGGTGTAAGCCAGGTTAGCATTCACTGCATGGAAATGCTGCTTGTCCCTAAAATTTTTGCATTTTGCACAAAAACAGTTGCCCCAGGAACACTGAAATTTCTCTAAGCGAATTTTTCCAGTTCCCCTTAGCAGGATAATGACTGAACACATCAGCCAGTCCTGCTCCCTTGCTGGATATGCAGTATTGGAATGCTTGAAAGGATCACCCTTAGGAGCCAATGTTCACATGGTGAATTTATTATCTAGTCTCCCGAAGCAAGAAGAGGGAGAAAAAAAATCTGTGACCTGTTAACTCTTTGAAGTAGTGAGGTGTTTGTGAATCATAACTTTTCAGACATGAAAGATCTGCTCAGAAGGTCTGAAAAATAATATATTGCAACTCCAAGTGTTCCAGAGGTTGGTAGGAGGCACTGAAACCTGCCTTTCCCCTTTTTTTTTTACTCTTTTTTTGAGATGTTTGAAAGAATGCCTTAAGCTGTGTTCATGTTACTTGTGGCAACCTGCTGAGACAGTTACAGAGATAAGAGAACACAGTAAAATGAGGGGGGGAAAAAGTCCTGAATGTATTTTACTTAAATGATCATATTTTTACAATTCAAATCAGGATTTGTTCTGTATTCTGGTTGGGGTATCTTTGTGCTCTCTAACTGTGTATCTACAGTGATTTCCTCAGGAGGGTCAAGTGTCTATCAGTGCTCCTCATGTCCAGGCTGCAGCTTTGGCTGGAGATGAGACCTCAGTCATTTCTTCAATCTTTTATTCTTCTTTCATATTGAGATGAGACCTCAGTCATTTCTTCAATTTTTTATTCTTCTTTCACACCTTTGGACATAAGTTGCACAATTATCAAATCTCTGCAGGTGAGCCTCAGCCCCTCTAGCCACCCTGCTCTGTCTGGTAAGCAGGCCCAGAAACTGGATCTATTCCCTCAGGAAATTTCTCCTGGAGCAGTGGTTCCAATTTCATTGGGTCTGCTCGGCCTCGTGTTCTTTTGCACCACATTCCAACAAACACAGTTTTTCAAAGTACTTACTGATAAGCATTATAAAGTTATATTCACATCTGAAGGCAATGTGCAGAAACAAATCAGCTAATAACAGCACAGAAAATAGTTGGCTTAGAAATCCCAACCCTTTTCAATGGTGAAAATCAGATTTGCAAAGCTGCACAGAAACACAAACCTCTCCCTGGATCACCAGGCCAACATGCTGATATGTTGCCCATGAAAAACCTGCCTGGACAGAGTCACATTCTTCAGTCCATTCAGCCTTCTGTTTGCTACCAACTAACAAAACTCTCCTCTGTCTCCTGTCCCCACTTGGACAAATTGATCTCATACGGATTACAACATTCCCCTGACAAATCTGGGGATCTCAGGTGTGATTCAGAGGTGAATCCTGTCCCCACTTGGACAAATTGATCTCATATGGATTACAACATTCCTCTCACAAATCTGGGTATCTCAAGTGTGATTCAGAGGTGAGAAGTTTGGCAAGTTCAGCTATTTGAGCCCTTCAGGCACTTTGTAGTCTTACTGTGCTGCACTGTAACTCTACCCACTACTTTAAAGCAGGTGAAAAGTATTCCCATCTCCCAAAAGACAATTAAACAACAATTATTTTAGATCTAGAATTTAAAGATAATAAATATTCTTTGTGATCTATTCAAGAACTTCACCCATGGATGAAATATTCTGTAACTGATTTTTGCATTGCTTGTGTGACAATGTGGATTTAAGGCTAATAAATAACCTTTGTGACCTACTCATGAGCTTCACCCATGGATGAAATATTCCATCGCTGATTTTTGCACTGCTTATGTGACAATGTGGATTTAAGGCTCTGTGTGCAACAGAATCATTCTTCATGCAACACAGAGTCATTTCTGCTGAAGATTAGCTGAGAAATCTCAAGAAAACATCCAGTTTTCTATCACACATTTAAGGATTCCTTGTCCGACGTGCAATCGACTCAAGCTCCGCAGAGTTTGCTGGTTTGGGATGAAGCTGCTTCAGGCTCTGCGTGCACAGGAGCAGTTTGGGGAGCAACTGGTGCTAATTAGCACGCACAGGGTGTGATTACCTTCCCGGTCGAGGAGATATCACACCCTCCCGGAGATTTTCCCATCTATCGTTTGGGGGACGAACAACCCCAAACTCAGCGCACCCCGGGAAAGGGTCGGGGCAGGGCCAGGAATGGGATGGGGATGGGGATGGGATGAGATGGGAATGGGGTGGGGATGGGTTGGGAATGGGGATGGGATGGGGATGGGAATGGGTCGGGAGTGGGATGGGGGGAGGGGGATGGGGATGGGATGGGATGGGAATGGGATGGGGATGGGTTGGGAATGGGGATGGGATGGGGATGGGAATGGGTCGGGAGTGGGATGGGGATGGGATGGGGATGGGG